CCCCAAAACCCCAAAACCCCAAAACCCCAAAACCCCTGCCAATTTAATTTCATTGTAAGAAAATAATAACAAAAATTTACTAAAAATGGAGAACTCAGATAGTGAAATTCAAATTATGAATTTTATGGCCATGACTAACTGAAAGGACAGGCCAGTAGCGATGTCCTTCCTGGAAAAAAGTCAATGGGATGAGATCCAAGCTGTTAACAGTTATTTAGCACAAGAACATCAGAACCAGCCACCACCAGCTCCATTTCCAGAGGAATACCAGCAACAAAATGAAAGGATCCCTGCTCAGCCTCAAAGACTCATCGACGATATTGCTTATTATGATAGAGAATTTTATGGACAGGACCCTACTGGTGGGAACGGCTTCGAAATGCCAGACATATTAGGAGGCATTAAAAGTTTCTTTGGTGGTGCTAAAGACAAAATATTTGGGTGAACCGGTGGAAAGTATTTCATTAAAAAGCTAGCCGAAAAATATCCAAAGATTGAATTCAGCAAGATTCCCTTTGTGTAAGACTCCTTTAGTCTAGTTTCAGTCTGCTAAGGAATTTACATTCAATTTCCTGTAAAATTAACAGCTCTATAGGGACATGAACTATAAAGATGCTGCGGCTAAAGCAAGCGACAGTAAGAAGTTGTTGTTCTTATACATTCATGACCACAAATCCGAGTGATGAAGACATGTAGACATGGATTGCCTCACTGACCCAAATATCCAAAGCAAGCTAAAGGACTCCTTTGTGTGATTAGGAATCAATGTATTTTCAGACGATTGGAAAATTGTGAATAAAGTATTTGATCCACCACTTGTTCCCTTTATTGGTGTATTTTATATTGCACATGATGGAAAGTTGGATATTGTTAACACTTTAATGGGAGACGACATCAATCCTGATTCCTTACTACAACTCCTACTTCAATCAGATGACCAATATGAAGAACTTTTAAGAAAAGATTTGAAAAACAATAGGGTGAAAACTCAAAATCCTGACTTTACATTAAGAGAGGAAACAAATTATTTTGAAAGAAGTGAACATTCACTCAGTAGAGGCCAAGGCCTTACCTCAGAAGTCCCTCAACCTGTAGCAGATGTCAACAATGACATTCTTGACCCTGAAGAAGAAGAGAAAAAGGCTCCTCCAATGGATCTCAAGGAAATACAAAGGCAGGAGTATGAAGAAGCTGTAAGGAAAGATCTTGAAAAAGAAATACAACAAAACATTGAAAAGGCAGCGCAAAAAGAAAAAGAAGAGGCTGAACAGAGAAAATAAAGAACAACTCGAACAAGAAGCTATAGACTGTAAAGCCAAACTTGAAGAGGAGCCTATAGAAGGAGATCCAGAAGCTGCGACAATTCAGATAAGACTTGCAGATGGCACTTCCAAGACTAGAAGGTTCTCAAAGAAGAGCTCTGTAGAGCAACTTCATCTCTACATTCGTAGCCTTGGTGATGAATGTGGCTTAGAAGAAATCACTGATGAATTCGAGTTATTCCAGCAAAGTAATGTCTTCAATGACTATTCAAAGACTATTGAAGAAGTGGGCCTTTTCCCAAGATCAAAAATATACTGAAGAGAATTGTAACTTTATTACAAGATTTCTCTCCTCAATATTTATGAAGGGCAAAGGGGTTTTGGGGTTTTGGGGTTTTGGGGTTTTGGGG